TTCATCTGTATGTATGTATGTATGATTTTGTTCCAAGAATCATGCTATCTAATATTAGTTTGTGCGGTTCTTTCATGGGTTTTGATTTTTTTTTTTTTTAATTAAAAAAGTTCATTTGATTGGCCTGTGCAGTGAAACAACATGGACTTTTCAGAATCTGCAAGAATTGTGATAAACAGGATCAAGAAAATGGAGCCAGAGAATGGTGTTAAGATTACTGGCTATCTTCTTCTGAAAGAACTTAGTGATGATGAAATGCTTCAGTTGGCTATGGGTCCTGATATGGTCATCCAGGAATTGATTTACAAAGTAAAGCTTGAAATTCAACAACTAGCTGCCTTAAGGGCTGCTGCAGCTGCTTCATCCCCGAGTTCTCCTTCATTGAACTCAGTTCCTGCTTCAGAATTTCCCTCACAGTTCAGTCCTTTCTCACAGCCTATCTCATCCAGGCCTTTCGTGCCATCAGCAAACTTTCGGGTCCAATCTTCATATTGGGAGTCACAAGTAGCTCCCAAGCAGAACTCGGATTTTGTGCCGTTAGTTTACTCTGACTCTGTGTCTGAACTGCAGAATCAAGCTCAGCTCTTGAGTTTAGATGATCAAGTGGAGTCTGTTAACTTGGGATTCTCCAATGATTACTATTACTCAGAAGCTGCATTTGGTAATGCAGGTGCAAGAACAGGCCGTAGGCATCAAAATGTGCATGACTTTCCTGCCAAGATTTGTCACTACTTCAACAAGGGGTACTGTAAGCATGGAGGTAACTGCAGGTATTTCCATGTGATTACAGATAACTTGCCTCAAATGTTTGGCCATAATTCAATGGATGTGAGCAATGAAGACCAGGTTTTGTCACCTGGGTCACTTGAGAAGATAGAGCTGGAAATCGTGGAGCTCTTAAAATTGAGAAGGGGGAATCCTGTTTCTATTGCATCTCTCCCCATGTTATACTATGAGAAGTATGGGAAAGTTCTTCAGGCAGAAGGTTATCTCACTGAGAGCCAGAGACATGGCAAGGCTGGTTACAGTTTGACAAAGCTTCTTGCAAGGCTGAAGAATAGTATTCGGCTAATTGACAGGTGCAAATCTATGATCTTCTATTCCTTTGCAAGAGTATTGTACTGATGAACTCTTTTCCCATGGATCCACAGGCCTCATGGACAGCATGCAGTAATCTTGGCAGAAGATGCACCTAAATACATGGAAAACCGGAATGAGAGAAATGATCCTGGTCCAATTGTTAGTGGATCCCGGCAGATTTATCTCACTTTTCCAGCTGAGAGCACCTTCACTGAAGATGATGTCTCGAACTACTTCAGGTATAAAATGATGTCAGAATGCAATTTCTTTAATGTTCTACTTAGTTTTCTTATTTTAACTTGATTATCTTTGTAGCACTTTTGGACCTGTTGAAGATGTGAGGATTCCTTGCCAACAGAAGAGGATGTTTGGATTTGTAACCTTTGTGAGTGCAGACACAGTCAAAATGATTTTGGCAAAGGGAAATCCGCATTTTGTCTCTGGGGCTCGAGTCCTTGTGAAACCTTACCGGGAGAAATCCAAGCTGTTTGACAGGTATATATAATATAATTAATGTGCATGACTTTGTTCTGTCTCTTGTTTTCATGTTGATTTTCTTCTTGATGCAGGAAGTACCAAGATAGAATAGACCCATCTATGTACTATTCTCCGCACTATATTGAGATGGACTCTGAGCTTCACTCTGGTTAGTTGCTTTTTTAAAAGTCTCATGAATCCAAATGATATGATATTCCAATGAATTCTTATTATACCATCTGATATGTATGTTTCTAGTTCCAAGAGGATATGAGACCTCCAGGTTGTTTAGGAAGCAGATAACAGAAGATCCAGAACAATCCCTTGAATTCGAGAGGAGGCGTCTTTCAGAGCTGCATTTGGCACGGAAACCTTTGGCTAATCAGTCTCATTTTGGCTACTCTATGGATGGATTCCGAACACAAGAAGGTCCTTAACTCTTCGTGGTTGCTTCATTGCATATTCCACATTTTTTAGCTCCCCTACATAGCTTTCTTTCCATTGTCCTTCAAATTTTTAACTCTTGCAGATCAACATTTCTCATCAGCAGAACAGTTCAATTTTTTGCTTGAGCTTCTTAATACCAACTCTGGATCTGATGAGAAGATCAAGCATGTAGAGACCAACTACACTGACCAAGAAAGGTATAAAACAACATGAAACTCTAATTCTCCCATTTCCAATACAAGTTTTATAACATGGGTTTTTTTTTTGTGGATGTGTGAGTGTTCAGCAGCGAAGGACTTAATCTGCCTGATAGCCCCTTTGCTTCTTCTCTAGCTAGTGGCATCTCTGCTCTCCTTTAGGGTCAGCAACACACAAAATAAAGTTAAGAGTACGGGTTCAAAGGTGATATCTTTGGTTTGACACATACCTCTTTTGTTTTTCGCCTTTGTTTGTTAATCAATCAAAAAGGCAGTCTCCTGCTAGTACATACAGGAGCAAAGAAGAATACAACAACAGCAACAACAACAATAACAGTAACAATGGAAGCATCTGATCCCTGTTTTCTTCCTGTTTTTAAGTGGCAAAGAAGTAGTGTGATACATAGGAGTACATAGAAGAAGGGTTCTACACTTTATGTTAAGTACAGTACAGCTACAAGGCAAGAAGGGCCTGGATCTTTAGGTGTAGTATAGTCTTTTTTAGCTGAGGAAAGTGAACTAGAACAGCTATGCAGGGAGGCTTAAATTAATGTTTAGAATCTCTGTGACGCCTATGGTTAGACATTCAAAATAACTTTTAATGAGAGGTAGCTATCTTATAACAGTTCATACCAAGTTCCATTTTGCTTTCATCAATTTTCTGCACTATAGTTGTTTCTTTCATTTGATGCCCCAAGTTTATGCACACCACTATACTCATCATATCCTCGTGATGATGTTGCGATATATGGGAACTGTTGCATTGATGCTTTCAACTAGTAATATTTGATTATGCTTTGGGCTTACATTTATGATGGAGAGAAGAAACTTAAACTAAACTTTGCAGGGGGAAGGCGGTCAACAGACCCACATTGGAGACAGAGCAATGTGACATTTTGTTCTATGCATTTGCCGGCTGACCCAGTTTAGGATTCTTAAGCCCCCAAACTCCAAGAGACAATGCCTTAAACATAAGGGCTCTGGTACCCCCACTACAATAAATATGCCCTAAAATCCAGTTTGGTCTAATTGTTGTTATGCCGCACGAATATTTGTCTAATATGAAAGACAAAAACGTAATGCCATAATTAGAGCATGATATTATGATATGGGTTTGAATGCAATATATATTGTGTATATAAACAAAAGGTTCTCCATTGAGAGAGACATCAAACTAGTATGCATTTGTTACTCACAAGTGACATCCAGATAAGGTGAACAATTTGATAATGTCAGGACAATATCAGTAGAATCTAAAAAACAACTTGCAATAGATTTTCTATTTGTCTTCTCCATTACCTCAAGTTTGAGGAATAAAACATGGATGACTAGGACAAGAAAGATATCTTGAAAATGACCTTTTCTGCCTTGGTTCCTCCATGCCAGAAGTAGAAGATATCCGACAGCCTTGAGAGCTTAACCTTAGCATATCCAACTCATCTTCCATCTCATTGGGACGTTGTGAAGGGACCCATAAATGACTATGCATACAAAACATAGCTGGGATGTACAATACTTAATGGAGGGCCCTGCAAGGAAAAAACCAGTAATTACTAATTAGGCAACAGAGTTTAGTAAGATAATCAAAATACCTATATATTCTAATTTTCTTCCCATGTTATTCTAGCAAAACAAGATGTCAATGCTCTAACATGCAATGTAGATGATTGTCTCCAGTATACATTTTCTGTCACCCAACAAGTGAAGGCAATGGCTGTTCGAATTTAAATTAGCCTTTTCTGTTTCTTGGTTTTGCTTTCTTGAAAAGGATAACAATATCAGTCAAGTGGGAGATTAGGAAATAAAAACAAAGGGTAAAGATTTCTGATAATTTGTAGCATATTTGTGAATGTAGTGTGCTAGAAATGGATGAACGGTTGAGCAATCTCTTCATGCCATTTTAATACATATCGGCAAAGACACAAGGATTGCAGACAGCATAGGTGTAAGATTGTGTGGATAAGGAGTCTAAACTTAATAGAAAAGTTGAATGGGGAGGGTATACCATGGGGAAGAACAAAAAAAAATAATGTCTGACAAGATTTTGTACAAGAAAGAAATCAAAAGAACAGATAATGCTTTACAACAAAGATTAGTGAGCTGAAAGATATACAGAGCCCATCAAGTAACTGAAACAAAAATGCACCTAGTGCAGAAACACCAAGTAACTTGCTTTCTCAGAATTCTCCTCTGAATAGCAAATGGGATCATCATCCTGCAATGTTTGATATAATCAGAAAGAGAAAAAAAGTTATAACTGAACCCAAACAAGCAGAATCTTGGAAAAACACCTAGTGAGGAAACATCGCACTTAACAGTCAACACTAGAAAATACTCTAAAATATTTCTGCATACAAAATATAATCCTTGAGGTGATTGAAATACAAATTTTTTTTAACAGTAGGTGATTGAAATACTAATTACTAATTTTAAGAAGCTATCAGGAAACAATGAGATTCAACTCACAAAGAACAAGGAATAATATCAAGAATTCAATGGTGATTATGGTTAAATGGTGAGCCCAAACAATAAACCAGAGATACCTTATTCTACATGCAGTTTCAATTCCCACGTCTGTCTGTCAAAACTCAAAACAATTGGTTCTGGTTTTACTTTATTTTTTTATGATTAATTATTACTAACCTTATATTTGTACCTGTTCTTCACTTCCTCAAGTCATTCCAGCCACCAGCAGTTAGCAATCCACATTCCTTTCACAGAGAGTGGAAAAATCAAATATTCCCACTGTATCAAGTATAACATGCCATAAAGCCACTCCCATATGGTACCAATATGAGAAACAAAGTCACCAGACTCACCACTCCATTTAAAATTTTAGGCACGGATAACTAGCTTGCTAGAGGCTTGTAATACAAGTTTCCTTCCAAAACTTGTCATATTTTAGCAAAACTAGCATATTAGACAGTGGAGAGACCAGCCTACTACTTCTTGTGTTGTGCAAAAATAAAGGAAAACTTTAAAGCAGCAGATTATCCCTGTTTTTCATATTTCTTTGCAAAACCCTTGAGCAATAATCTTTCACGAAATGCTAAATATTTATCTACAGTAGTCCCAGCCCACTGCTGACAAAAGCATTCATCGGTTGGAACAAATGAACTCAGAGGAAATGGCCCCTTTGGAGCTTTCTTTAGGGAAACCAAGAAGCGATGGCGAGGTCGAATTCTCTGGTCCAATGATAAGGTTAAGTACATAGGATATTTTGTCAAGGAATGCACCTCATTGTTAAGTTCATTAATCAAGTACAAATACTTAGGCTTTAGATTTTCCTCCAGCGACAGAGATAATACCTAAAACAAAAATCAGCATGTTCTGTCAAGCAAATTGGACTGCAAACTTACATAATAGAAAATCAAACCAATAAATAGTGACATAAAAAATACATCAGGAAAAAGGATATGCTTAGACTTCATATATTAAACAACTTCTCAGCAAATGCCTAATGCTAGAGAAGGTGCTGGACAGAAGAGCAGATAAACATGTAGAAATTGGAATATTTGCAATATGCGACTGCAAGGAAAAGAATAAAAAATGTTCTATGCTCCAATTTGGGTATATGAGAGCAAACTAACCTGTGTAAGGCTAGTCAAGACTTTTAAGATGTCAGAATTACGCATTCCAATGCTCCTTAGGAAATTGATCCTGGGCAACAATCCATCATCAATGCTGTAATGAAGGAATTGGGGATGTTTTGTGACCATCTTCACTACACTATCTCTTGGTGCTCCCAACTCCTCAGAAAGAAACAAATACCGGGTATTCCATGATATGTCTATCCGCTGAACTAAGATCTGAGGACTTAACTGCACAACTTTACCTAAATCCTTTTCCTTTATGCCAACCTCCTCAATCAAGTACCTAACTGTGGGTTTCAATGAATTTTCAACACTATAGGAGAAAAAGGAAGGAGCAGCAGCAATTATCTGCCCTACTCTGGAATTTGGAATACCCAAGTCCTTTAGAAAAGCAACATGGGATTTCAAATTGTTCTCCACTGTGTACTCAAGAATTTGTGGCTGCCTTAAAAGTATTCTTCTGATATCTCTCTGCTTTACTCCGACACTCAACAAATACTCCAACCTTTCTTGTGCAGAACACACATTGATTTGAAGGGATGGCATGTGCCTCTCATATATTTGGATGAAATGTGAATCTTTGAGCCCAAATGTGCTTAGATAGTCAAGAAGAGGCATCCACCTCTTGTCCAAAACTATTTCATCTGAGAGCCTTTCGTACTTATTCTCTTTCAGTGTAGATGTCCTTGTGCCTAGCTGCAATTGAAGAAGAAAATTTAAAGCTCCTTTCTACATTTGATACAGTTGTTAGTAAACTCTGGTAGTTTATCTTACCTTTCCTCTTTCATTTATACCCAAGGATCCAACTTCATTCATTTTGTAAGAAGAATGATAATTTCTTGCATTACTCTTCTTTCGAGCATCATTTTGATCTTCAGCAGTAACAAGACCTTTTCTGGATTTCAATGTGTTAGAGCCTTGGTGTTTTCCACGTCGTCTTTGACTGCCTGCCAAAAAAAAAGGGGGGATAAAAAAGAATGTACCAGTTTTCTTTAATGTCCCTCTTGAAGCACTTAAAACTCTACTGGCATACCTTCTTTGTTGGCCTTTTGTGATTTAAATCTCTTTCCATTAACATTATACTCTGAAATTTCTGCAAAGTCATCCTAAAGAACAAACATAAAGTTAAACTTGAAGGAAGAATAAAGACCAAGATATCCTATCAACTATGATCTGGCTGTCAATTGTGGTTAGCAACTCTATTAGGTCAACCGGTTCAAATTTTGAAAAAGCAGGACATGCTGTCTATTTGACAGTCATCATCTATGCATATCACAAACATTGAAACAGTAAAGGTCCTGCCCGATATAATGCTTTGTAAGTTCCAACTAGTTCCTCCTTCTTAACCTACCCTTCATGAACAAATAGCAAAGCTCATCCTGCAATGAAACCTCAATTGGCTAAACTTCACTCATAATCACCTTCACAAATGAATCAGATTACGGGATCAACAAACAAAGGCAGTCACTTCGCCCCAGTTCACTAATAAGTGGGAAGGAGATTCGGGATTAGAAATAAAAAAATGCCACCAAAAAAATCCCAGAACCAATCTCCATTATTTCCAAAGTTCCAATCATCAACCCCAGCAACCATGATACAGACAATTAGCTTAACTAATATCCAACAATTGATATTTAGTTAAATTCAATACTCTACCCTTTTCAGCATATATTTGCCACTCCAAAATCCAACAATTTCATGTACTAGAGACCTTTAATTAACATAGAAGAATAGAAAGAAAAAGAAAAACCAGCCTCTCTCTAACTAAAAAGAAAGCAGGGAACTTTGCTTCCCACCTCCTAAGCAGAAGCAAAGTAAAAAAATTGAAATTCTGAATTCAAACGAACTCACATTCATCAACCAATCGTCAAGCGGGAAGTCATCTTCTTCATCGTCATCGAATTTTTTTTCTTCTTCCTCCTCCTCATCTTCATCACTGTTGTACGGCGACAAAGTTCGGCCGTATGGTGATTTCTTATTATACTTGAGAATCTTGGGGTTGGAGTGAGTGGACAACACCACGAACCGGGCAGTCCTCTTTTTCCGATTATCAAAACCCCTGTTGATGAAACCATGGTTGGAGGGAGAATCAACAGTAAAGCTCGAAACTTGATCGAGAATTTGAGAAGAAGAAAGAGGAGGAAGGAGGAATGAATTGAAACAATTCAGAGACAAAACTGTCATTTCTGGATAAAGGGAGAAGAAGAGAATATTCTCATAAACCCTAAAAAGGAGAAGAGGTTTATCTTATCTTAAAGCTATGGCCGTTAATAATCACTCCAATGATTGTTTGGAGGTTTTATCAACGGTTGTTTCACTACAATCGCCATTAGTGTCGGTCTCAAGGGCTTATTGAAAATTAACTAACTTAAAGGAGTAAAATGGAAAAACAATTCAAGTTTGAGGGCCCATATGAAGATTTTTTTTTTTTTGTTTATCTAATAATAATGAGGGAGGTAAGAAGAGATAACCTCTTCTTTTTTAAAATTTCTCTCATTCTTAACTCAAAGTTTTTGAACTTTAAACTTTAGTTTGAAATTGTAAACTCTTCAATTAAGAAAGAA